TGGTCCAAAAAGTTCTGGCAACACTGGCTTCAACAGTCGCAATGGCTGTGTGAGCAGAGCACTGGTGTGCCATACGAGAGATCCGGAAAATTATCTTTTTCCTTTTCTTATTTAATTTTTTTCCTTTTTCAATTTTTATAAACTGTCTATATTGAATTTTTTTGCCTTTTTGATCAAATTTCTTTTGATTTATAGATTTTATTATATACTAAAAATAACTTGATTGTATAATAATAAAAACCATGATACAAAAAAGAAGGTAGTTTCAATAAACAACTTTTGACGGATAATACAATTTTTTTAAGGTTTCATAAATTGTGAGTATTATCAACGGCCTTGCGACTTTGATAATATTAAAACAATAAATCGGAGTATTTTCCTTCCCATATTTATACCAATGTAATAATATTTCAAATCAAAACCCATTACCAGTGCTTGGTATTTTTTTTACTTACGTAGCTCGCACTATTTTTATTAGAAATATAAAGCAGAGACCCAGAATAATAATTATTTTATTGTTGGATTTTTAAATAGGTCATCAAAATTTTCGTAAGAATTATAAGTCTTTTGATAATAATTATGCGTGAGAAATTTTTTAAGTCATCGATAACTATTCTTTTCAAAATAATTATCAGCGAGATAAATATTTTAAGTCTTCAAAGACTTTTATTTTGAGGCTTATTTTGAGAAATCTTATCTTAATATAATGATTATTGATTGACTTTTATTCGTTTCTCTTATAATATTTAGTTATGTCTCTGATATAAAGTATTAAAGACGAGTTCATGGTAATTGCTCGTTTTATTTTATAATAAAAACCACGCGCAATGCTGTTTTTTTTCATTTTCTTATTTCTTGCGATTTAAAAATCTAATTCTAAAGAATATTCTTTCCAAATAAAACCTTTTTATAGTTTGGCTCAAATTTAATTTTAATTTCTCATGAGATTTTGCAAAAAATTAGGGTTTGTGATTAGCGTATCACCATTAACTTTCACAAATTTTGAATTTAAAGTTTCTAATATATGCAAAAACCCTGAAGTCGACTTGAACACACCGCTAAACAATTAACATATCGTCGTTTAAAGTACAAAGTCGGAAACTTAGTCATCAACCCCATTTACGAAATTATGTCGCCGGCATGATTTTCAAGTCCATCATATTCCACATCTTTGAATGTACTGATAAAATCTTCTGCTTTGAAAAAAAATTATTCTTCTAGTGATCAGGTAGCATGAATTTGATGAAATGTCATAATTTTATTAAAAGTCAAATGGTTAACAACAACAACGAATGTCATTAAATGGAACTACCTTCTTTTTTGTATCATGATAAAAACGATCTAATGTATTTGCCTGAAAGATTTTCATATAAATAAAATAAAATTTTATTAACGAAAGGTTGATTTTGAAGAACAAATAGAAACGAAGATAGTTGGAAGGGTTGATTCCAGTGAAGAGCAAAACATTTATGAAGAAGCAGGAGTAGAAAATTCACAGAACCTTAGAACTTAGGTGTGGTAGAATTGTTTGCAATAATTACTTAAGTGGCGACTTACAATAAACAGTAAAGTTAGTAATGTCGCGAGATGATAATGAGAAATGGTTGAAATCAATGAAATGTGAATTTGAATCACTTATGTCAAAAGGAACTTGGATTTTGGAAGATAGACCAAAAGATGCACCAGTTATTAAAAGTAAATGGATATTTACTGTAAAAGGAGATCAATATGGCAATATTGAAAGGTACAAATCAAGATTGGTCGCAAAAGGATGTAGCCAGAAGTATGGTGTTAATTATTCTGAAACTTTTTCCCCTGTCACTCGGTACTCAACAGTACGGTTAGTCCTAGCATTAGCTGCAGAATTTGGACTACATTTACAACAACTTGATGTTACAACTGCTTATGTAAACGGATATATTGACACAGGTATATATATGGACCAACCTTAAGAATTCGTGAGTACGACATTTCCGAATAAAGTATGTAAATTACAAAAGGCGTACGGTTTAAAGCAATCTGGAAGGAAATGGAATGAGAAGTTGGATAAAATTTTGCAGCAAATTGGTTTTTCTCGGAACAAAGTAGATCCTTGTGCGTATACAAGATACACGAAGGAGCACAAGGTTATTCTAATAGTACACGTTGATGATATACTTATTGCATGTTTAAAGGAGGAAACCTTAAATTTAATTAAGCAAGAAATAAGTTTACGAATTGAAATTGTTGATAAAGGATCCGTAGGTCATTTCCATTCCTTTGAATTGAATGGGTTACTGCATACTCAGAATAATAATAATAGATTGGCGCTTACACATATGTCAGTGTTTGGCCGAGTTCTCCTCCGATTTGTGGCGCGTTGATGTTGTCACACAAAGGGGAGGGGCCTACGGTTCTACGCCGACTCCGAACGGCGATTGTATTTTTATGAGAAGCATTGTATTTTTATGGCAGAAACACACTCGGAGGTTTGCCATTGCCTGCCGAGGGGCGACCACTGTTAAGAAAAAACCTTTTTTCTAAATTTGTTTGTGATGTTGCTCTGACCAGGGCTTGAACCCAGACCCCGCGAAGTGGAAGCGCGCACTGCTTACCACTACACCCCAGCGGCTGCATACTCAGAATATTTAAAAAAAAATCTAACTAAAAAGCTCAAAATTTTTATGAAACTTTGTCGAATTTTGATAATTTTTGTACAAAGTTTGAAATTTTGACTTACGTGGTCTTTGTTAGATAACGAGTCACACATTCATAAAAAGTAATATACATTAAATAATCGAAAGTGGAATAGCCAAAGAACGCTAAACTGTCTCTTCCCTTTTTATATTTTTGCCACTCCATCTACAGCTTTTGTTTTTCATATCCACGGTTTGTTTGAAGGTATTAGTATTACTTTTTATAATTTCATTAATTATATTATTATATTATTAATAAGGATGCCGGCTATGTTTATAGCACTAGTATATTCTATGTCCTTTGTGATAAACAAGTAGACAGGGAGAGGCTTAATAAATGAATAAAGAAAACACTGAAAATCGGGACTTAATCGGTACAAATATGTAAAATCGGGACGTTTGTATGCCCCGACTTTTGAAACATATTCAGCTGGACAATTTTCTCAAAATCGGTACTGTCCCGCCAAAATCGGTACGAATGGTCACCCTATTTACGCACCAAGATTAATTCGATCCATTTGCAAAATTTATCCACCAAAACCAGGAGGCACATGTTGACTTCTTTCGAGCGATGGGGTGGGCGGATGAAATCAACGGTAACGATTACCCATGGTCGTGAGCACTGCATCGTTTTCGGTCTTATACGGCGGAGAGAGGCACCCACGGACGTGGTTGCCCAATGTGCGGCACATTCCGGGCCAGTAGTAATATTGTTGCGCGCGTTCAAGGGCTTTCTGAATGCACTGAATTTGGTGACATTCCAAAAAGTCCGCTAGCTCTGTTCTTGCTCCTCGTTGAAGTGCGCTCTCTCTGTCTTTGCAGTTTATTGTGTAACAATTTCAGATACAGCGAGTTAAAATTTCGACAGCACGCCATCAATAAAAACGAGGTAAAAATTACCTTCAAATTTATTTTTATACAAGTTATCGATTGAAATAGGTTTGAACCGGTGACCTTAACCTTACCACTTATTCATTTCTACACTGAGGGAAAAAAATATTAAAATCAAATAGAAACGTAATTGATCTACTATAAACGGCAACGAAAGTACTGTATATTGGTAAATATTCAATTCAATTACGCACATATTAAAATGACTGTGTTCATTCTGAAAAAGCATCCGTGAAGTGAATAATCAAGACAAAAACTAAAAAAAAAATATTTAACTTGCCTGTTTGCCTGCACTGGAATTCGAACCTTGACCATCTCTGAATATCAACAAATTGTGGCATGCATCTTTGCGCACTCAGCTACACCCAGGCATATAAATTTGCTTTCAAATGTCAAATGTTGAATATCCATCAACACCACAGTACGCGATTTGTACGGATAAATATTTACTATGTGTGAATGTGTGTGTTGTCACTGCTCTCAGAGCGGCGCTCTGCATGCTTGGGGTGCGTATGTACACTCATATACATATATACTCAGATGTGAACAGCGTAATAAATTTTGTATGAAAATATTATTTTTAAATACGAACATTTTTAAACAATAATCAAATATAAAATATTCATTTTTACTATGCATTATTTCCCTCAGTGTAAAGCACATTTTGGGGTGCACGGCAGGGCTAATGAATTTACAGAACAAAACTATCCTGAGTTAATATGTAGAAGGGTTTTCGTCTTTCCTGAGAATTTCCACAAAACGTACTAACATAAGGGACTTACTTTTTAACTATATATCGTCGCCCGTGTGCCAGAAACATGAATGTGTAAAAATGAAAATTTTGGGAAATCAAGTTTGAAAGTTTATTTTACGAGACCTAACTCTACATTTATACAATTTAATCTGTAAAATATGTGGTTTCCGTGTAGGTATGGTATTCTGGGTTTAGGTATAACATAGTACATCCACCGGTTAATCAAGCCAACCCAATAATTCAAAACTGATAAATTTGCGCATCCATACTTCTGACATAAGGGCGACGGTATACTAGGGGTATTCTCTGAGTCTTGCAAAGCCCTTGCACGGATCGCACGGGTAGAAAAGCTGTCCCATACGAAAACCGGTTTTTACAATGCAACCCGTGTAATCTGTGCACCGTGCAAGGGCTTTGCAATACTCAGAGAAAAGCCCTATTATGTGTATTAATTTTTATCTGAAAAAACTAATATTTTGTGATGGAAGTACAAAGTGATTTACAAATATTGGTGTATCTCTATTTTCTTTGCTCAACTCGCTATGCAAGTTAATGTTCATACAATGCATAAGTACTTACGCTTTACTTCGCTAATTTAAAAAATAGTAAATCACATATATGTAGATGTATGTATTATATTTGTATACTGTTTTAATATAATTGCAATTTTTTGAATTTAGCAATTCCTGAGATTCAACACGCGGACATTTTAGAAAAACACAGCTTCGAATCAGTGCCACTAAAATATGAAATTATCGCCAAAGGGATCCCTAAACCGGAAGCTCTGTGGTATCATGACGGCAAGCCAATTCATGCTGACAATCGTGTGGCAACTTTTGTTGACGGTGTAAGTTTTACGTTTTTATAATTGTTTTTAAGGGATGTTAATATAACAGACTTTTACAGGACAAATATAGATTGGAGATAAAAGAACTTGAACTTTCAGACGCCGGTGAATATAAAGTAATAATCAAAAATAAATGTGGTGAAAAATCCTTGCAAGGAGTTCTTTCTTTATCTGGTACATATAAAAAAATTTCAAACCATCCTGAAACTTATAAAACAATACAAAATTATTTTCAGGTGTTGCAGAGTATCGAAAGCCTCTTCTGAAAAGTGGTTTACGCGATATTACTACTAATAAAGGGCACTCGTTAGCAATACCAATTGTATTCACTGCAGATCCTCAGCCTAAAATTACATGGCTCAAAGATGGGAAACCTTTGAAGGAACAAGACAATTGTAATATAAATGAAACTGTGAAGGATATTGAAAATGGTCTCAAGGAATACACGTATACCTTAAATTTCGATGAATGTAAGTAATATTGACATATATACTATACATATTATAGAAAACCAGTTTAAGTTTGCAACCTATGTTTTTGACGCGCTTTCTTCTTTGTAATATTCTTATTTCATTTTATGCGAGTGTCATTATTAACGCTGGCAAAGAACTTGCAAATTCCCTTTCGTAAGCAGAGTTTTATTACAACTTCTTTGCTTTCTATGGTCTTTGACTTTGCTCGGTAGCAAGTACTAGAAACACAAAGCAGAAACGAAAAACGCATACATCTCCAGTAAAAAGTCAGGACTAAAACGCAATTGCGGAATTCCTTCTCTAGTAAATGGAGCACCTTACCATCTCCATGATTTCCTTAATTATTTTTTATTTGAAAGGAACCCAATTGTGAAGCATTTCGTTTCCGCTTGCGGGAGAACAGCTGGAAGAAGGACTTATTTTTTATGCGTAACTTTTATATTATTATTATTAATAATAAAAAAGAAAAATTATACGTCGGATCGTGGCCGCTGTGGTGTAGTGGTAAGCAGTGCGCGCTTCCACTCCGCAGCACCTGGAATCAAGCCCTGGTCAAAGGAACATCGCAAACAAATTTAGAAAAAATGTTTTTTCTTAACAGCGTTCGCCCCTCGGCAGGCAATGGCAAACCTCCGAGTGTATTTCTGCCATGAAAAACAGCTTCTCATAAAAATACAATCGCCGTTCGGAGTCGGCGTAAAACTGTAGGTCCCTCCCCTTTGTGTGACAACATCAAGGCGCACGCCACAAATCGGAGGCTCGGCCAAGCTCTAACATATTATTATCTAACGCAGGCTTACCCAAATCGGGTGCCGCAAACGTATGCCTGGGGTGCCGCTAGTGGCTAGAGTAGTCGTGCGGGCAAATTCTTTAAGCTTCCCATACACAACGCAAGCGGTTTGATAAAACTTCAACTTGGCGGCCAGAGAATCAAAAAATTTTGATTTGTATTAAAATTTTTAAAGCTATAGACAAATTTGTACAGAAAAATGGTTAGAAATGGAGCAAGTGTGCGGATATTTGCTGAAATTAAAATATATCTCTAGTTTTTTTCTACCACGTCGAGAGTTTGTTTAATTGGAGACATCTATATTTTAGAATGTCTAGCAATTTGCATGAAAACCCCATAAATATACAAAGTAAATCAGAAAAACAAAGTAAATCGAAGTTAACGCTAAGAAAATTGATAAAAGTTAATTTCTTAGCGTTAACGCGCGTTAGCAGCGTTAACTCTGAGGAACATCCTCAGCTGGATAACAACCCGTTTTCATGTGACCCGAGAAGTAAACCTACTTGGATGACAAATTAAGTTTTTGAAAACCCTCTGGACATCAGTGAAGACAGCACTTTGAATATTAAATACTACGAAGGGAGCCAAGAGAGTTCTGTATGCAAGTGTATGCCGAAAACACTGCTTTTGGCAAAATTTGCATAAAAAATACTTTTTTTTTACTTTTACTTTTACTTTTACATTTACATTTATATGTGACCGCTGAAACTCAATGCCAGCGAACGACGAATTTTTCGGCGCGAATGTTCGCTGTAAAAACTAAAATACACTGTCGTATATGAGGACGCGCACAACCAAAGCAAACGACGTCTTTCGCCCGACGACTGTTCGCGACGATATATGAATTTACAAGCGGGCCCATGCGCAGACTGCGCAGACAGAAATACACAGTAAACTCATCCCTCTTTGTAGCCACAGATAAATAAAAGCAGACTGTTCTAATAGTTCGCGGAAATAGTAAACAGAATTATTCTTATAAACCCCTTATTTTTATTATACATATATTACAAAGCATGAATGAGATTTATAGTACATCAGAACTTATACTTATTAGGTACATAAAAACATATTACAAACTGACTGATATATGAGTGTCATGAGTTGAGGTAAACATGGTGTTACTTAAAATATATCTTTGTATACAATATTTGAGGTGAAAAAATATTCAGAATTAACTTTTTGACTAAATATTTTTTTAACTGAAACAATAATATCTGAGCTAAGGGAGCGGTGCGAGAGAGACAACTTTCAGTTTATCGAACCTTTAATTATTGAATTATGTGTGCGCTAACCACTGTCGTATACGGTGTATGCGATACTGCAGTCACAATAGTGCTTCAGTACAAAATACCTTTAGTGTGGCTTAACAATGGTAAATTAAAAACAAAAATAAAATTACAAATTTCTTGACTTCAGAGGTGTTATGACCATTAATATTACCTAATAACCACTCAGGGGACCTCTGAATTTTCAAATGACACCTCATTAGTGGAATTGCTTACATAGAAAAGTAGAAAAAGGAAGACTAACAAAAAAGGCCTTAGAGAAATAATATATAAGATGTGTGCGCCCACCACTGTCGTAT